ATACAGTATGTCCAGACTGTGTCCCAACTCGTCAGACTGCTGTCACCAACCTCTTTAGAAGCCCTGATATGTATGAATTATTCTTGGTGCAGCAGCTCCTTCCCATGATATCTGAAGTGGCAGTGTAAATGCTTCACTGAGATATAACATATTCGTATCAGGAGCCCGCAGAAATGTAGCAGTATAGATAACTGAAACCTCAGTCTAGGAAAGGCTGCCTTAGACATATTTATTCTTCAGATCCTGGACTGTAATGTATTTTAATCATAAATACAAACCCTAGGTATGAAGCTGGCTTGTGTGTTTAAAAAGCTAAGACATAGCACAGTGCACATCCATGCAAAACATCTGCTAGGTAACTTGCATGTCAAGCTATGTATATTCATAACCGCCCTGCTGAAGCATGAAGTCTGGCCAGAAATAATAGGCTTGTCTACCCTGGATAAATAAGGCATGCCAGTTCCAGAGGGAGCACAATTAGATTAAAAAGAAATTCTACTACCATACTTTAAGTTCTGGATGTGAAGAAAAAAAAAAAAAAAAAAAAAGACCCTTTTTGAAAAGAGACAAGAATCAATAGGAGTTCAAATTTGTGTTATTTACCCTTCTCTGCTTATTGAGCGCCATGCGCAGGGAGGGCTTTCAACATCCAAAAATAACCCTGTAGTCTTTTATCAAAACTTCTGATGATAAAAATAATGCAAGCTCACACAAATACAACTTCTCCTCCAGAAATAAGCAACTTCATTGCTTTGCACTTTTACATGAAAACCTGTTGCATGGGTGTGTCTCACTAAGGATAAAACTATTTGTTCAGTAAAATAACTGTGATCTTAATATCTGTGTAGTCCTATTGGAACATATATAGCCACACGCAAAAGAAGCGGCTGGGTGCTTAACCTCCTATCAATTTCAAGGGCAATTAGGAATCAGAACGCCTTCACATGTTCAGCCCAGCGCTCTGTTGAAACAGAAGCTAAACAGATAAAGTGAGGGTAGATGAGAAATCTGTAGCAAATTAAACTACAGCACCCGAGTTCTCTTCCTGTTTCAGCATCTCTTAAAGCACAGGGGAGAATTCAAAAGTTAAAAAATAAAAATAAAAAAAACCAAAACAAACAAAACCCAAAATAAACCGTGCCACTAACAAAAACCACACAGGGAAAGAACAGGGAAAGAAACAGATCTGATTTTCTGAGCAGTGGCATGTTCATTGAGTATTTGTTTGGACCATTTTGATGCCAGAAATGTACAGAAATATCTGACAAAGTTTTGTTCTCTGTTAAGTCCTAATGCATAGTAAAATTTTAAAGTATGCATCTCATTTTCAAGTAAGGAACTTGAGTTGCACTTGACTACAGAAAAAACCAACTGACAGTTGTGAGACACAGATACCTTCCCTGCTGCCACCCTCTCTTCCTGCACAGTACATCTTAGAAGGCAGAGTAAACAATTCATCAAGGTTAAGACTCTGCATCACACAGTTATGAAACAGCAATTATATAAATAATTCTAAGAGGTATTTTTAACTATTTCAACCAATACTACAAAGTTTATTTCTCCTCCTGTAGGAACTAAAGATGGGAGTACCAAATTTGTATAGTGTATTTTGATATCCAATTACCATGACAATTTTTAAGAACTGGGCATCCAAATCCTTTAGGCAACTATAGTAGCTGGAAATAAACTTTATTGTTATAAGCAAGTAACAGGTCTTGAGAGAATCTTGCGTATGATCAGGAAGTTTTTTTTCAGAGTATGCTATTTTCCCTTAAGGAATAAAGCTCTCCTTGAAAGTGTCAATTCTTATTTGCAGCAGCTGGAATAGCAGTCTTTAGGTACCTAAAGGATGGGAGGGCGACTGCATTCAACGCCAAGCAGTTAGTCATTAGAAGCAGTTCAACGTTCCCCTTGACGTCTCCTCCAGTTTCTACCTTTTAAGTTGGAAAACTATTCAAGAAAAAAGTTCGGATTAATTCCACCCCATTCCAACTTAACACTCATTAGAAGCAGTTCAACGTTCCCCTTGATGTCTCCTCCAGCTTCTACCTTTTAAGGTGGAAAACTATTCAAGAAAAAAGTTCAGATTAATTCCACCCCATTCCAACTTAACATGAGAGACAGCTTCAAAGGGCAGAAGCACTTGATTCCCCCTCTGCCAGCAGAAACTTATCAGCTCCCTTATCCATCCTGTCAAGGACGTGAGCAAGCCCGTCAGCAAACCTCAAGTGGCCTGTCAAAAGCCAAGGTCAGAGAAGGAAGTGAGAATCAAGCCGTAGATTGCTGCCAGACAGACATGGCCCGAAGGTGCTCCTTTAGGTGTGCCCCTTGCCCCCTGCGCCCCATGGAGGGCTCTGCTGCTCTGGCTCCCAGCTGCGGGGCACGGCAGGACACCCCCGTGCCTCTTCCCTCTATTTTGGTCATTCTTTGTCCTTCTGTTTCTCTTCTAACTGTCCCATTCTTCTCCTTGGTCCCTTTCTTGTCCGCCAGTTTCGCTTTTGGTTTCTACTCGCCAGTTTTGGTTTTCATAGGTGAGAATACTTTTGGTTTTTAAATGGGGTCACTGTCCAGGGAAACCCATGGAAGTGGCAGACAGAAGAGATGAGCCGTTAACAGGGGTGCACACCACGCTTTCTTCTGTAGTTACTATACAACCCACAGGGCAAAAGACCTTGATAAGGTCAAAGACAGTCGTTCTGAGTCACTAACAAAATCGATTGATTTAAACTCATTTTAGCATTTCTTCATACACTTCTCAGTAGGCTCCCCTAGCAAATAAGGCATTCTGGGCTTGACCTTGTATCTCATGAAGTCAGCTAAAAAACAGTTGTACTATCTTCTTTGCCATGAAAAGATAGATGATGATGATGATGATCTAGATTGCAAGACTTACAAAAAAAGACAGTCCAAAACCCAGATCAATTATACTAATTTTTCTTACAAATAACATCCTTCATTTTTAATGACCAAAACTCAGTTTTAATATCTAATGCTCTTTTCATAATTTCTTCTTCTTTCACTTTTGGCAACAAAAGTAAATTTATACTTTGCTGGTAGCAATTTTCTAACCAAAGTTAAATTAATAGTCTTTGTTCTGACACACTCTGTTAAAATGAAGATACCTTTGCCACAGGTTATATATTCTTTCCATTACTGCTTCTGACATAATTTTAGTGAAGTAACTCTGATACCTTTTGAACCTGTACAAATGCACTTTAACTTCAGATAAATTCTGAGTTCAATCTGGTTTGAAAATTCTTTGTAAAGAAGTGTGGGGTTTGGTTTTTTTCCCCCCACAGTAAATGAAAAGACTTAAATCAGTAACAACAGCTTTTTTCTGAAGTCTGTTAAATCTCTGTACTTAAAGAGTACTCCCGGGTTTCTGCTGCTTTTGTGCATCTCCTACACGTTAGAAAAGAAAAAAGTGTTGCAAATCATGGAAAGATCTGTTTCAAAAACCACAGAACTCAGCTGCAAGATTCAGGGGGGGCAGAGTTTGACGTGATAAACTCAGTAGATAGCACTTTAATTTCAGTTTGTAAACTAACTCATTTCTCTTCCTCCCATACCCCCCGAGGACACATTTCAGTGCTGTTTTTGTTTCAAGAAATATGGTATTACCCAATTTACATTAAATCAAAATACTAATTTTTGCTTTAACTGCATGGTTAAAGGGAGGTCACACTGTAACTGAGCAAGCAATTTCTTGTGTAATAAGCCTAATAGAGTGTCGATTCCATTTCATTCCCATTGATTTCCACAAAAGTTGGGCCAGATCTTGCAACTACAAATATTTATAGTTTGAAATAGCACTTTAATCTCATTTTCACGTACCTTTTTGTCCAATGACTTAAATAACGTACCTGGGGGGGAAACGAAACCACGACTCACCTCAAAAATTTAAACTGATATAGAACAGATAGCATTGATTACAAATTTACCTTTTTAATGAATGCCACAGAGAATGTATCCCACGATACAATCCCATGATCCATCAGCTCAACAAATGCAGTCAGTGTAAAGGACAACATATCTCCAAAGCTGCAAGAGACAGGAGTCATGACAACATTTACCAGTGATGCAGCAGGACAACGACCAAGGGAATAAAGCAGCAGGAAGCTTTCAGAAAGGCAGGAAAATGAAGCCAATTATGGACTAGGAGGTAGCAGAAGAGCAAGAGAGGCCGTGCAACAGATAGTCTCCAAAACAATTTAGCATGGACATCAGGAACAGTCACCTGGAAGAAAGCAATTTTGTAAGAGAAGAACTAATCCCCAGGAGAACACCACACACAGTGCTCAAGGAAATCAGATCGTCCAAATCAAACTTCTTTTATAAATTTGGAGTTTTAGATCTAACAGACGAAAAGAAGTGAGCTTTTTCTTAGCAACTTATGGAAATGCTCCTTACTGAAGGTCAGAGGTGCCACGTTCTGGTACCTCTGCATCAAGCAGACTGGCAGAAAGTTAGTGGATTGTTTGTTCCTTCTCTTACAAGGAAGCAAATAGATTTTAAAAATGCACCAGAAGAGATCATATATTGAGCAGCAATTTTCCAATAGTTAATGCCTCGATTTTTTCCTTTGAACCTGAAGATGCATCTCCTTTTGTTTATCTACAGGCAACCACGTCACGGCAATTGCAAAGTTCCCATAGTTTATCCAAGCATGCAGCTCAAATCGTTTAAGGTTTGCAGGCCACTCCACCGCATTTTACACCTGTAAATTTGAGATTCAATGCATCTTTGTATGAACTCAACTGAATTCAAAATGAGTTTAAACTCAACAGAAACAATATGCTCTAACCTGACCAGCTGCACAGGCACTTTCCATGTTAAAAAACCAGCTTTTAAAGATTAGCTTCACGTCTATACACAGTCAGGGCACCGAAGAGGCAGCAGCCGTACTGATTTCAACGAAGCCGTTCAACGAGGTAACTACTTCATCCAAGCAGCAGTGCACAGAGCCCGAAACGAAGCAGCGTATTACCTTTAAGGGCATGCCAAACCGCCTGCAAGGTACTCTGCCACTGAGCCAGTCACAAGCATAAGCATACAATCAAGTTAAACAGCATGAATAGTCCCAGTGATTTTAATGCAACAGCTTACCTAATAAAAAGATAAAATTAAAAAAAAAAAACAACACAACAATCTCTGTCAGATTGGAACGGCAGTGCTCAGTACGTTGAAAACCTGAGTCTAATACTAAGGCTCTAGTTAAGCAATGTAATTGGTAATCCTTACGCTGCGATTTGCTCTCCTACTATCCTGCACCAACCCAACACAAATAAGTGAACATCCACTCAGATGGTAGCCATTTACAGCAGTACAGAGGAATAAGGCAGAAAATCTGTTTTGATGAAGCAGCTCCAATAGCCAGTTTACTGGATTTGATATAATCTGCCATTTAGGGATTTCTGATGGTGAAATGCAGCCTTTAGTGGCCCCTTCATTTAAGAAAGGAGCTCTTGTTCACCAAACCTCCACAGATGCCCTCCACTAAAAATAAATTTGCCATTCTTGAAATTTTGTGAGTTAAAAAAACCAAAACACACCTTTCTCTTCTCTTCCACAGAGGCTTTGATTATTTATGACAAAATGAAAAAAAACTACACCAAAGAGCAAACAAGAAAAATACACTGTCTTTAAAAAAATTCCCTGCAACTCTGCAAGGAATATTTTGTTCAGCAAATACGTGACATGGAAGACTTTTGTTTTCTTGTAGGGGGTAGGGAGGTTGGTTTTGTTTGCTTGGTTTTTAATATTGCAAATCTTTTAAGAATTAAATTAGACTTAAAATGTCATCATTAGCATTCCAAATAACCAAGGATTTCATAACAAGACGACAATAAGACTCTGCAGGAAATTTAATCAGTTCCAGTCCTGTAATTTTCCCCAGTCCGTTTCTTTTGCATAAAATGGGTATTTATGAACCCACAAATAGAACAGCACCCCTAGGAAAGGCTTCCTTCTAAAAATTTGCACCAAATTCTTATGCATCTTCATGACAGCATACTTCCACAAATATATGGAAATCTAGTATTTTAAGAAGCTAGGCTAAATTAGATCCAAATAAAAAAAAAATTACAAAAAGATAGGCTATATAGTTTGAAAAGTAGATAAAAATATCTCTCCCACCATTAAACTAAGCAGATGATGTATCTCCTCTAGATTTTCTCATATAGTGTTTAAAAATTTAGTCATTTAACCTGTATTTAGTACACAAATACTCTTCTATAAACTAATTGTATATGAAAGCTAATCCCCATTAACAATGGGTATAGTTTAGAGGGATTACTTAAACTGTATTAAACCTGCATAAGGATATTCACCTTCAGAATAGCAGTGGCTGGAATGTAAAGGAATTAAGCCAACCTGAATTCAACGGTCTTATTTATTCTTCTCACCAAAACTACTGATTAATCCAGCCAATTAATCCAGCCTTCTCCACAGCTTTGGAGGGGAAAGTAGGTTAATGAAGCTGAAAATACTGGTATTAACATATAAACCTGGTTTTAGTAGATGTGACAACAATACAACCGTTTGGGGTCCAGAAGGTGAAAGTACTTTTTGACTTAAAATGACCAGACACCTCCCCAGGTGTCACTCCAGTGATACTGCTTCAAATAATTGACGGGAGTGAGGAGATGCTACACTGGGACTAATCAAGCAGCAAGAAATACTCCAACTCTATATATTAAGCAGCACCACACATACAGAGTATGTATTTTTTAAACATATAGCTATACATATGCACCTGCACACACATGTATACACTAAGTGGCATTGCAAAAGTCAAAAGCCAGGCTTAAAGGATAAGGATTAGGGACAGCACAGCTAGAGATGAAAGCAATCTCCAGGGTAACTAGAGCAAGATAAGGATTAAAGTATCTGGAGGGGGAAGGGAGTGGTGGCGTTTCATTGTTGTATGTTTAAACACAAGCAGATAGGTAGAAAGAGACTTCCAAGCAATTAATTTCGACACACACATGCACGGATGCACTCATACTATTAAGAGTGGCAAACAGAATAGATGCTAGAAATACCAAGGGGATCAAAGCTGATTCATAAAAGTAGTATTCTTAGAAAATACGTGGTAGGGGCTGTTTAACTCAAAATCTCAGTGAGTGTTCTCGTCATACTTCCGAAAAAGTCAAAAAAAAAATAATGGGGCCTCCTTCTTCGTAAAATCTTTTTAGACTAATCCACAGCACAAAGCACGACACTTCTGTAAATATCAGACCCTTGCTGCTCTGCCAAAATGACTTCATAGTTTGAAGGTAATTCCTGACGAAGGTGCTTTTTAATGTGTGTCATTGCAGCAAGAGGAGAAAAATGACCAGGAAGATGCACTGTGTAATTGCAATTTCATCTCTCACTAACGCTGACACTTTAATGATCTATGGTCTCAGGCAAGCAATTTGTGCCGTCCCTCCTGAACGCTGTCCAGGGCTCTGGCTCTCAGCTGGGGACACCTTACACTGGGACAACTGGTGAAGTGTCCCCGTTCTCTGCTCTCTGACTCCCCTCTTCTAACCACCACTGCGAGGATGGGCGAGCTGGTCACGAAGCACCTCCTCATCCTCAGCAGCTCTCGGCAAAAGCCTCTGAAGCAGCAGAAAGCTGTGGTCTGCAATGCCATCGGCTGTCCCAGCGCGGCCGGCCGTGCTCTGACCCACAGCCTCTGCACCTCAACCCCGCCGGCAAACCTGACTGAAGTCAAGAGTCGCATTTCACATCTCTAGGATTTAGAGAAATATCAAGTCAAAGTCTGTTAATTTACGTTCCTAAGAATTTTCTACATTGTTACCTTAAGAAACTGTGAAGAAAAAAACCCACGTATTTTGATATTAGCTTTTCTTTCCTAAAAATAAAAATGACAGGAATGTGCATGTGACCCTGACCACCACACCTGTCTCTCACCTGCCTTCCTAGTACCATTTCTACATGCTAAACCATCTTTTTTATCACGTGTGCTAAGCAATCCTCAGAGGTGTATATACAGAACTATGTCTGATATTTTGAAAGATGCCTAAAGCAATTTGGATTTCTTATCAAAATAAATTAATGGGACTTGAGCACTCAAATCCCCTAGACGTTTTTGGGAAAAAAAAAAACCAAACTCAATCCATGTTTAACACACATACCAAAATGAACATTTTATTGCTATTGAGAAGGGAAAAATACTCAGTTATTCAAATGACTCCTTAAATCCAGATAATTAGTCAGGTTCAGCTGTCATCAGGTAACAAAAAAAGCAGCAATATAAGTTTCTATGAAGCTAGGTAGACTATCTCATGTTTTATATGATAAAAGTTGCATAGGACAACCTGGAAATTAACTGTTGCTTGTCTGTCACAAGTAGGATACAGCCACCAGCCCATTAGGACTCGAAGGCAAAGACTGTACGTCTTTACAGAAACCATTTTTCATGGACAAAACAGAACCAAAGCTGATCTCTAAATGTGCAGAGGGAAGGCAGCAAAGAAACAATTTTAACTGGGCAGGAGGCAATAAGAGAGTGGCAGCCTACTACCAAACGCAGGAGTTAAGGAAGCGGTTAACTTTAAGTCCCTTATCATTCAGCAACTGTGCTCACAGCCCAACACTGGGCAGCTGAAAGGCCTGACATCACTGAGGTCAACATCAAAGAGTAAGAACAGCTTTTTAAGTTAGAGTTGTCAAGGATAAATGGCCATGAATAAATTTAAACTGGGGAGCAGAATGTATCTAATCATCAGAGGACAAGAGCTCTGGAAAAGCCATGGGGGCAAGAACCCAAGTCTAAACCGAAGACTGATGATGCAGGAGGATGCTGTGCAAGCACAGCGGGAACAAGTACCTTTTTTATTGCTATGGCTCCTCTTCATTGCTTCTACCCCGCCTTGTTTCTTCAAGTAACCTTTCCCAAGGGTGAAGCTAAGCCAACACCAAATCAAAATAGGAGCAATTCACACCTACTTGGTACTCAGTACAGCTGAAAATGACTGAACAATCTGCCAGGTAGCTGCCCCTATTTTTCTAGATGATTACAGAAAATACACTTAACTGCAACTGATACAGTTTTTTTGTTTGGTGGGTTTTTTTTTTTTTTGCATCGTGCCAAGCTCCACTGAAATATTTCTTTGCGGTACAATTTCACAGCGTTCATTACAAGGGATCAGCCCTACTGAGTTTAAACCGCTTGCATTCCAAAAACCTGAAATAGCTTTGTACCCCTGGTACCAGGGCTTCTCTAAGCTTGAAAATTAACTCTGATTAAAGAAAACAAGCTGCGAATTTTAAACAGAACTGTAACTATTCTTGAATAACTCCAGGTGTAGATACTCTTATTATGGAGTATGACGAAATCCACTTTGAGGTCCATTAAGCATTTCTCTGCAGGGGAAACTCACCCAGAGGACGTATTACACACTGGTTCGTTGTGAAGATGTGATTCGGATTACCTTTTCTCTTACTTCCCATCTTTTAAACTCCTGGGTTTGCTCATTTCGAGCTGATTTCCTTAAACGGACCAGCTTTTCTTAAAAGACCAGGAATAACTAACTACTCAGGAAAAACATCACTCTCCGATCAGCATGGTTTGACTACAATTCAGTACTGCAATGCAAAGGTCAATTAATAGAGCTGTTTCATGGGGACTTTTTTTTTAAATCCAAGTATTAGTCAATATGGGATAAATAAAATCCCAAAACAAAATGGGAACCCCTAAAACTGAAAAGACAGGGAAAAAGAAACCCACATTTTAGAAGAGGAACTTCCTTCAGTGGAGAAAGCTATTAAACAAGGCCTTTCTGTGAAAATCAGGTTCTAACTAAATTGGGCTAGCATGTGCAACCTACCAGAGATAAAATGAAATACTGGCACTTTATGAAATATGTTATCCTGTAAATCAAAACCAACTTTTTTTAATTAGTATTTGGTTTCTCCAAGTTTCTTTAGTCAAGACGACAGCAAGGTGGAGGCTGCAAAGTTTTAAAATTTAGTTTATTTCATTGCATCAAGCTCTGAGGGTTTGTGGGGGTTTTTTATAGTTCTTGTTTCATCGGACCTTTTCGCATTAACACATGGGTGAAAAATAGTCAGGATGTTCGATAACTACACGCATAGGGCACTAGTGCATACTATTTACCCTCAAAATGTACAAACAGGCCAGCTTCCAGAACTATTGGCTTCACGTCCTGACCAATGGTTCTGGTATCTTTTTTAGCACAAGTCCTAAACTCAGGAATTTGTGTTATTTTAATGGTATTATTTAATGTACTACTGATAGAAATCAATATATTAAACTGTGTGTCCCAATGTAAACTGAAGTTTCTACAAGCAGCATTTACCTTCCAAATTTAGAATAAACTCATCACATACATTTTCTTTACTACCGTATCCACTGATGTGCTATAGCTACACTGATCAATAAGAATCCTCTTAAAGCGGGTAATGCCATGTTCCCATGAGTAAACAAAACTAAATTGAAGCAAGAAAATTAATTCTGATCATCAGTATGATCAGGTCCTAAAACCAGGGTGCAATGCAACCATAAGTCAGTATTTTAGTACTGTTTTGAGGACAATCATGTAATTTAACGAAGAGAAGCCTACAGGATAACAGAATTTGGAAGCAGAGAGATGCTGAAGGAGCATAACTATTCTTCCACAAAGAACTATTTTCACAGCAGCGAGGAAAAACCCACCACCTCAATGCACAGGAGGTACCTTGTCTCGGCAGGGGTGATGCTGCCAAGAATTCCAAAAGCCTCATGCCATTTTAATCATTTTCCTCAGTATCTAAACTTTTCTATTATGAAACAAGTTACTTTGTGTTAAGTCAAAAAAGCAAACATAGAGGAAGGATTTAAGTTTCCTGCCAAATTTATTCTTACTAATTTATTTATGATGCACTGATTTTAAAATGTTGCAGAACTTGGTTTACAGCGTACTTGTGAAAGTATGATTTAGCATGGATTCAGATGGGGAGCTGCATTTCCTGCACGATAAACCACACCAAGCTCTCAGTGATAGACATACAGCTAATTAATTATTTTTTTGCTTCCTTGGGTTTTAGCTATACTTGAGATGTCAAACTTGCAAGCCAATCAAGGCATTAGAGTATCTCTTGGGGTCCCAATTTATCAAAGCCTATGAAGCCTGTGCTTAACTTGAAGCACACAGAAGAGTTCCATTCAAAATCATCAGGGACACAAGCATGCTTCTGAACTTTCTGATATAAGGCCCTTCACCATATTACAGTTTCTCTTTATGCAGTTATCTGCAACAATTAGCATTACCTGGGACCAGCAAACAATAGGAATTCAAACTGGCACAATGACTCTTACTTCCATCTCACCAACATCAGCAATTGAAATTGCCTACTATCAACCATATAAGCCAGACAAATGTAAGAGAGGAATTGGGGGAAGGTGGGAAACAAAACAAAAGCCTTACTTTGGAAATAGCAGAAGCCCCCGCAGAAGTTACAGAAACGAAGCACTCATTCCACAAGCAAAGCAAAAAAAGGCTTCATCAGAAACTTTTAACAGGCATCAAAGAGCAGAAAGCAGAGAAGGCTGAAGGCTTGCCGAATGAATAAGCACAGTTGTATTTACGTATAAAGATTAGCGCAAGGGCCTGAACTCAGTCATGCAAAAGAAAAGGTAGTGTGCAAGGTGATGATCTAATCAGGTTCTTACCAGGGCTTCATTATCTTCTGCAATTTCTGATATCGTCTGCAAAATTAAAACTTGCACGTGAGGAGACACACTTTAAAACATCTGGACTCTATTTACCTACACATACACAGCCTCACACACACACATCCATACTTGATTCATAAAATTCAGACAGACGCACACTAAGAGGCAGTAAATTACTAACAACTTCCTGTGAACAGAAACAGTTCAGTAACTGGTAAAGAACATTCAAAGTTAATTTCAAATATTTATTCAGAATACTTGTGTTAACTTCTGTTAGGAAAAAAGCAGAAAAGACAGTTAATAGAGGAAATATATCAGATTTCTCTAAAGCCTGTTTCTCTTGACCATTAAAGCATGTCTAGGTATCTTAAATTAGTTAAATATTTGTGTAAAAGAAGCCTTTAGTACAAAACAATAAAGGTTTACCCATTAAACATTTTCTGTCTCATTGCTATGATGTGCAGTCCGTTGTCTGAAAAACTCTTTTATTTACTTACAGTCTCCATCACTAATACTGATGTCAGCATGGCTGAAAGTTGTTGTGTAGCTAGGGCCAACACAGACCAAAATCCTGACCTTCTGAAGTCAGGGACAAGGGTTTTTTTTGACTTCAAAATGGGTTTTTAACCACTGAGTCGCATTTACTCAACAACTCAAAACCATCTTGCACTAGCTCCATGGCACATAAATACAGTCCAGTAATCTTATTCCAACAGAACATGTAGGCTCACTCATAGCTCTTTTGCTCTTAAAATTCACACAACCGATGGACGTGCCTAGACCCAAGGTGCTGAATCAATCCGCTTGAGAAGGACAATGACCTGCTTAAGAACATCACTTATTGATTCAGACTCTAAGAGGCCAAGCTACACACCCAACCTTCAGCTTTCCTAGTAGATCCCAAAACATTTGGTTGCTAGTTGCAGCAAGAGGTTTAATGTACCCCATGCGTTTTTTTATTTGGGCATTTCCTATTTCCCCCCCCTCCCCAAAATGTACACTGTTGTGTCTCTTCAGTGAGCCAGAATCTACGGCATGATATTACTACGTTCAGTAAACTGGGAGCCAAATATTACGAGGGGTTGGGAGCGCCAATAAGTGCATTTGAAAGCTGTAGCCCACTAATCACGATCTGCAAGTCATCCTCCTGCTAATAACTGGCTTCAGAACTGCTGAGCAAGCTGAAGAAAGAGACTATCAATGGTAAAAATGGCATCCAAGATAAATAACTTCTTTATAAAACACCACTTAAAAAAAAAAAGTAGCATCCATCTCCTGCTTAATCCCTTCTTGTGTCTCCTCAAACTATTTTCACAGTTTTATTTCAGAGGGTTGGCTGCAGCTCCATACTGGGCAGGAAACTGTCCTAAAGGAGAACAAAGAGGTTCCTCCTGCCCCCCGTCCCCTTCGCACTTGCTGCCCTGCCCTGCAGCCCACAACAGCTCTAGGACTCCAAGCTCTCCAACTGCCAAACTCAGCTAGATTGTGTTTATTTATTTTCCTTTTGGTACAGCTGTAACTTGTCCCACCTCGCATTTTACATGCTATTTACGCCTAAGCAGTATTGTGCTTTCTACAGAGACTGCGTGAGTCCCTGTACAGACTCTTTGGAAGAAAGACCAGTCTCAGGTAGGGCAGCTTTTGGGCTGGTTTGTGTAACCATCACGAGAGAAAACACAGGGAGTACATCACAGGAACAGTGGTTTGAAATCCTTCATTGCTAGCTGTGAGCTGCAATATTGATGCCTGAAGATAATGATGGCACAGTTTACTGTGTATCCACCGGCTCAAGCTAGAAAAATCACAAGATTTTGTTCTTGGATTTTCATGGCTTTGGTTCTTCTATGCTATAACAGCTATCTATGCAGCCAGTAGTAACGAGTAAACAAAAAGCATCCTGATGATCAGACAGCCTTAAAACGGGGAGAAAATTATCCTCAACATGCTTTTAGGAGCAGAAAAGTTCAAAGCATTTCCCACAGCAGGAGTTCTCAACTTCAGCAGAATGTCATTCCTGTGCTTCTGCAAACGGGGAGCTTCCTTGCTGCAGCAGACTCTGCTAAACCCAGACCACCACCAATGGGTTTTGCCATCTCCCAGATGTGCGTGGATCCAAGCAACCTTATGCAGCACGTGCCAGCAAAACTTCATAGCATCCTTCTGAGTCCAGTTTTTAAAACCGTTGCTTTTCATCCAGGTGCTGGCTTTAGCTAAGCACCAAGTAAACCTGAAATTGGTGCTGTGTCTGTCCGACATCAAAGAGAAACCAGTGTGGTGTTTGCAAACTGGTAGCACTTCAAAGGGCAGACTCAGTTTTGCCAGAGATTTTTCACAACAGGCTGTAATCAGGTGCATTTTCTCCATGACTGAGCCCAAGGATTAAAGAACAAATATCTGAGTCCTGGAACAAAACATTTAGACAGCAACTCTCTTAGCATTTACAGAACTCTTACCCATCTTGAGTTAACTGGCAATTAGTTAACTTGAGGTCAGAAGATGTGCAATGTACAAGAAAAAATTTTAGAACAATATGGAGAAATAATTGAATCATATAGGACTTTTCTGGTGAAGCAATACAAAGACAGCAAATTTGACTTGAGAGGAAAGATAACTATTGTATTAGACCAAACAATTTCTACTAATTTCTGTTGCTTTGGAAAGTGTGATAAGAGCAGCAATCAATCTAGGACATCAAATGTTGCAGCAACATGGTACAGGATGACTATAGACAGACATTTACCACTGAACAGGTGGAGGCTGTTATCTAAAGGAGCACATGTTATTTTCAACCCATCATCGAACCAAAAACCTAATACAGAAGGACCTGGCACGGGCAGAAGTTCCTCTTGTGTTCACTCGGAGATTATGCTGAAGTTACCACTGAAGGAGTAGCCAGGCGAACTCTTCCAGCAAGTCAGCATGGAAAGGAACAAGCAAAGTCTGCCACGTCCATCAGCTTTCCTCTCTCTAGATATACATAACACTGTTGTTTCTTCTAGAGGGCTGACTCCACGGTAGCAACCAGACAGTTCTGTAAAACGCTCTCTGCATGAGTTACCACAGGTATGGTCAAAAATGCTGAAAGCCTTTGCTGATCTAGACACTGTAATTAGCTCAATACTTAGATCTTTTTTGTTTTTAGAAACCATCCCTCAATTGCTCTTGCACAGATGGGAACAAAACCACGGCCGAAAGACAAACGTTGTGAGGGTAAATTAAATAGCGTCTGTGAAAGGTTCAGATACTGTAGTGGTGAAAGACAAAAACAGACAGCAATTTTTACACAGGGAGAAATCTCAAAACAAATGCCAGCATAATGCAAAATAAACACTAACAACAAGTTACTGGTTTAGACATTTTGCTACCATAATACGTTCCCTGTTTGGCCTCAAAGGAACTCTGTGATACATTTCCAACTGAATCCCGAGCAGCACCACTTCCCTTTGGATTTCCCCAAGCCAGACAGACTCTCAATACTTGCTCAAATACTGCAGGTTACGTCAGGAACAGCCTCCAGCAAGACCAGCTTGGCAAGGATCCGACCAGATCAATTCCTATCTGTTCATGTGCAAAAACCGCTGTGCAAGGACCAAAGATGCCCCAACTCTGAATCCCAGCTGGGGTACCACGGAGTGCGCAGTAAGGGCTTGTCTGCACTGGGGAAAACAACTAAAACCTTGTCCCATTGTGGAAGCCAGCGGGGACGATGCCAAGAGCTGAACCAGTCACACCCACTTCACCGCAACCAACGGTTCTGAGCCTGCACTGTGTAAAGATGTGCAGAGCAGGATAAAAATACCACTGGGGATAAATGCTTTTCATGTAGTATGGCCTCAGAGAGGGCCATCATTAGCAAAGGTGGAAGATGTTCACAAAAACTTCCTCTCTACAGAAAAACTGATGGGATGAGCAACCTGCTAACCACATTAAATCGTATTTGGCTACTGCTTTTCAGGCAAACGCAAGGATAGCCCACATTCTGGATAACAGGTAGTGCTTAGAAGACAGACAAATACACAGGAGTGCATATTGCTGGCTTCTGTCTGCATCAGGTGTGGCTATCACATATAAATGAAGTCTGGGAAACACTCTGGCCAGGAGGTGGAAACAAATTCTTTGGATGCAATGTGCAAAATGACCATTAAGTCACGCAGCAGCGCTCCCGCTCCTTACAGCCACCACAATATCCCACAGCCACCGCAGTCCAAGACACAAAAACATCCTGGAAAGTTGCAGCAGTGGAGGTTTTAAGCTCTTCTCTTTATTTTTGCTGGTTCCTCCAATACTACACTTTTGTATGGAGATAAAAAAAAAATTAGTTTTGTCCAGCTTGGTACTCTGAAGAGCATTTGGAAATATAAATCCACTGCTGGAATTACTCTTTTTATCACATTTTACAGAAGTGGTTGCCAAACAAAACTCAGTAAAACTGTCGCCTCTCCTCTTCCCCGTTCCTGTCAACAAGGTGTTGATATCACCACTTAGCAGAGGTCATTTAAATGCTAATATTCTTAAGCACAGGGAAAGCAAGAAAAACAACCCTGGAGAAAAAGCAGTTAGGATGGGAGGAATGTAACGAGCAGCAAATCTCCCCCTCTTCTCTCCAAAGATGTGATCTTTGATGGTTTAATCTTCAGATGAGGCTTTTATCTAAAACATACAGTGTGTGCTATGCATATGTAAAGGATATATAAGAAATTGTATTTCTGTGTGCTGAGAGGGAGGGCGGAATCAGCCTGAAGATTGATGGGGAAACAAACCCAAAATAGAGCAAGCAGGAGAAAAAATAAACCAACAAAAAAAGCCACCTCACAAAGAAAACCTACCTCATTTTCATCCTTTATGGGAACTGCACTGAAAGATGAGGCTGCAGCCCCGTCCCATTCTCTGGCCATTACCATCGCCACAGTGCTGTAACAGGATTACCTGATTTTATACACTCTTTTGGATTTTTGCCTCATAGACAAGAGTCACTCTCTCCCGACATTACAGAAGCACTAAGAAATGAAGATTGCATAAAACCCCTGTTGGAC